CCCAGAAACTCAAAAAGTCTGAAGTCAAAAAGAAAGACAGTCTTTTCTTGTTTCTTCTGGTTATTTTTAAAATACTATGAAGTCAAAAACTTTACTGAGATTAAGCTGTGTGCAAATTATAACTCCCACACTCCAGTCAATATCTATGGCTGGTGGTCTGACAAATTTCATCAGGGTGAGTCCATATGCAAAATGAAACTGAAAAGAATAAAACATCATTTTACAGTGATGACACAGCAGCTTTATTTTTTTCTTTTGTATTTTATGACAAACATGAAACAAGGTTTCAAGACAAAATTTGAGAATAATACAAAGTATATAATTGACTTTAAAACTGTTACTCCGAGTAGGAGGCATCAACAAAAGACTCTCCTTCAAATAAGAACTGACATTTTTTTTAGAAATTTGATAAAAATTGTTATTCTTGTTTAAGGAGAAGTTTACATGTTTGAAAAGAACAAATTACTGTTATCTAGCATCTCAGAATAAATAGGCATATATGTCAAGAATATCAATTATTGTTGATTTATTTCAAATAGTTTACTAGGGGCCAAAAGATATGTAAGTGGATAAGTGTCAAAAATGTCCCTTTGTATGACATAGAGGAGTCATGAAAATGTAGATGATCAGTTTGAACTAAAGGCAAGGACCTGGTGAGAACATGGGGTAGGAGGGAAATGCATGGGAAGGTAAACCTCAAAATCCAGGTCATAAAATAAAAAAGTTTTGCCTTGATTCTACAGTCCAATGTCTTCAAAATTATGCCAGATTCATGAGGGATAATTTGGGTTGGGATATGGGTGAGTGTTATTATTTTTATTGTCTGGTATCTATTTTAATGTGCATTAGAAAAAATTAGTCCTTCAGACCTGTGGATTCACAAACGTTATTGCTCAGGACAAAGCCAGTTTTTGTATTGGCATATTTCAGGTATACAATTCAGTTACATTCATCATTGGTGTCTTATACCTTTACTTATCTTGGTTCTTTTGTCCACACTTCTCTGCACCCCCTTCACCCACTCCACCCTTCCCTATTTTCAAAGACTTTGTTTCCATTTTTTTCTTTTCTCATATTTGTCTTTTCCCTTCTCACCTTTCCCTTACCCCCCCCACTTCTCCTAAACCTTTAGAACTTTCCTTCCTATCACATAATATCAATTATACATTTTGATCCTTATTTACACTTTTAGTTTATCACACCAGAGAAACAATACAGTATTTACACATGTGTGTCCTATAATGTCACTTAAGGGTATGGCCTCAATGTGAATCCAGTTAGCTATAAATGTTTCTAATTTTTAAATTTTTTATCATTGAGTTTATTGGTCTTTTTAGGTATACAGTACAGTTACATTCATCATGGGGATCTTGTACCTTTACATGACAGGTCCTGGTTCTCATTTTTTCCCCTTACCCCTGCCCTCCCTTCACACCCTTCACCCTTCCCTATTTAAAAATACTTTATTTCAATTTTTTCATTTTTCTCATACTTTTTCTTTTCCCTTATTTTCTTTCCCCTACCCTTCCCACTTCCCATACATCTTTAGCCCTTTCCTTCCAATTTCACATTGTCAATTAGCCCATTAGGATCTTGTATGCAAATTATAGTTTTTCACAGCACAAAAACTATTCAGTATTTACACATGTGTGACTTATATATTTTATTTAAAAGTATATCCTCCATATGCATCCATTTTCCTATGAATGACTCTAATTTCTCATTGTTTATGGCTAAGTAGTATTCTGTTTTATAGAAAAACCACATCTTCTTTATCCATTCTCCAAGTGATGGGCAAATGGGCTGTTTCCAAGTTTTAGCTATTACAAACTGTGCTGCTATAAATATGTGTGTGCATACATCACTGTGATATGATTCTTTTAATTCTTTTGGAAAGATACCCAGCAGAGGGATAGCTGGGTCAAATGGAACCTCTAGTCGCAGCTCTTTGAGGTTTCTCCATATTGATTTCCATAGTGGTTGCGCCAGTCTGCACTCCCACCAACAATGGAGAAGGGTTCCTTTCTCCCCACAACCCCACCAAAATTTTTTATTGTTTGATTTCTTGATAGCAGCCATTCTTTGTGTGGTGAGGTGGAATCTCAGTGTTGTTTTCATCTGCATCTCTCGAATAACCAGTGATGTTGAACATTTTTTCATATATTTACTTGCTGCTTTTACTACTTTGCCTGAGAAATGTCTGTTCATTTCAGATGCCCATTTTTGAATTGGGTCTTTATATTTTGGGGGGTCTGATTTTTTTTAGTTCTTTACATAGTATAGACAATAGTCCTTTGTCTGAGGAGTAGCTGGTAAATTTTTTCCACATTGTGGGTTTTCTCTTAGCTCTATCAGTGCTTTATCTTAGAGTGCAGAAGCTTTTTTAAAAGATGAGATCCCAACTGTTGATTCTTTGTGCTAGTTCCTGTGCTACTGAGGATATTTTCATAAAGTTTTTTGCTTGCCAATGTCTTCAAGAGTTCTACCTAACTTATCTTTCAACAAGTTTTGTGTTTCCATTTTAATATATTAATCTTTAATCCATTTTAAGTGCATGGGGAAAGGGGTCTAATTTGAATCTTTGGCAAGTTAAGTCAAAGCTAATTTTAAAATTTTGATTCATATCCATTTGAATACACAATGTTTACATTCCTGGTGTATTGTTACAGGTACATAGCACATCTTGGTTGCTTTTATCATCCTCTTTTGCATCCCTCCCTTCCCCCTCTGTTCATCTCTTGATTTACCTTCTCATTTGAGAAAACTCTGTCTCTCTACTTCCTATTTTTTATCTCTTATTTTGCTTTTTTGAAAAGTATAATTTGAGTTTCTCATATAAAAGAAACCAGGTGATATTTAAACTTGTCTTTCTGATTTGTTTCTTTTAACATCCTGGTCTCAAGGTGCATCCCTTTTCCTACAAATGACTCGAGTTTATCTTTTTATGGCAGAGTAGTACTCCTTTGTGTGTAAATGCCACATTTTCTTTTTCTATTTGTCTGTTGATGGATATATAGGCAGCTTCCAAGATTAAGTTATTGTGAATTGTGCTGCTATATGTATGAGTATGCATATATCCCTCTAATATGATGTCTTTAGCCTTTTGGGGAAGATAACTAGAATAGAAATAGCTGAGTGAAATGGAATTTCTAGTTTTAGTTTTTTGAGGCATCTCCATGCTGATTTCCATAATGATTTCACTAGTTTACACTCCCACCAATAATGTAGATGTGCTCCTATAGAACTAATTTTTAAATGAGTAAACTCAAAACAATTACCTAAAATATTATAGATGGTACTCGAGTATGACAAAAATATGACAGTGAAACGCAAACGTTATTTAAGGAACATTTTAATGAAGTTATTGAAGGGTTTTAAGTAGTGAAATAAATGTATTATATTTATGATTTAGGAAGATCAACCTACTTATGGCTTGATGTACCAATTACACAGTGAAACAAGTAAGGATAGTATTCAACCCTGAACTGAGGCAGTAGCAGTAAGACTGAGAATCTCAGATAGATATAAAGGATGTTAAGTAGACATCATCTATAGTCCTTAGTGTACAGATGCATTCATTCATGGCCCAAGCGATAAAAAGAGACTCCTCTGAATATCAAATGCAAAGGGAATTAAATACTAAAACTAGTTACAATGATGATGAAAGAACTGAAATGTCAAATGAGATGCTGAAATCACAAAGATCTTCACAACAAGAAGCTCTATGACTCCTAAAGCTAAAAGGACACCAAGAAGAGATGGTGTTATCAGAGACAAAGATCAGAAGTTAAACCAGGTAGTTGAATCAGCCATCCAGTCCAATGTTATTTGAAAACATGGAGATGTGCCAAGTTCTAAGAGACGCTAGGTTCTCTTTTTCTCTTATCCTTTCACTTTCTTATGGGATCTAGTATCAGTTGAATCTAATCAGAACCTCCTGACATGCAAATCTCATAAATATATCCTGCAAGAATCAGACTTTCTTAAAAAAAGGAAAAAAAGGGCAGACCAGAGAAGGATGAGAAATATGTTTAAAGGAAAATAAGCCTCTAAATGGCATATTGTGTACAGAAAATAAAGACAGACTCATCTAAAAACAAAATTAGGTTTTGTGGATTGAATAACCATTGGTTAATGTTATTCTCCCAGTAAATAAATATTAGATTATAAATAAATGTAGGCATATGATGGATTCATTCTTTAGCTAGTTCCTTTGGAAGTTCCTGTGGAATATCCAATTGAAGAAAACCAGTAGGTTACTAAATTACAGAGAGGAAAGCTGGCTAGCAATAGGTATTTCATTGTTTTATGAGTTATAGTTAAAGGCATGAATATAAACTGCCTGTGGATATTGTCTATATTGATAATACAAGATTTCCAAGGTGGGTGTTTTAGGGAAAACTAAAATTAAAAGAATAGACAGAGAACAAGAAGGTTTAAAAAAAAGGCGTGAGAAGGAACTGTCAAAGAAGTAGAAAAAAAGAATCCAGAGCCAAAGTAGAGCAGTTTTCAAAAAGGTGTATTAAATTTACTTGAACTTATCAAAAAAGAAGTGAATTTTTAAAAAGGATCTATTGGCTTTAGCTATTAGGCAGTCATTAGTGTCCTATGCAATAACAGTTGCAACGGTGATATAAGGGAAGATAGTAGTTTATAATGGTCTAAAGAGAGAATGGGAACTAGGAAAGGAATTAGAGACTGTTCTGTGAATCACATTTAAGAAGCTTGTAGAAGGAGCAAGAGAAAGTGGAAGCTTGAGGAGAATGTAGAGTTCAGAGAAGGTTAGTGAATTTTCAGTATGAGAACAACTAAAACTTGTTTGTATGTCAATTGGAAGGAGTTAAGGTATATTGAAGGTACAAAGCAGAAAAAGAGTTGCTGACATTATGAGGTTCCTGAAGACATGCTAAAAGATACGCAACTGAGACAGGCAGTGATATTAGTCTTCAAAAGAGGGAAATTTTCTGAGAATAGAGGGCAGAAAATGAAAGTGGGTACAGATAAAAGTGATTTTTAGGTATAGAAAATTGAGTCTACCTATAATGGCCCCAGGTTTCTCTGTGAAATAAGAGTAAAAGTACATTTCTCAAAAGAGTGCAGATATGGTGAAGTAAAAAGCTTTGGAATTGCCACTGAGGTTTGGATAATGGCAGTAAGCAAGGGCAGAGAGCTGAGAATCTCCAAGACTGGAGAACATACATTTGCTACAACATCTATTTGCAGAGCAGTATGATTTTCTCCATCAGACTCAGTATCATTGGTTGTAGAAGTTGACAAATGACTAACTGAAATGATTCAAAATTAGGGCTTAGCAAACTTGCTAGGAAGACATGAAATACGGGACATACAGATTATTAATCAAGACAATGACTTCAGTGAAGTAGTATGCTGTGGAGAAAGAGATTGAAGTGATAAAAAGGACAAAAATACTATTGTTGTCCTAATTCTTCCTCTGAAATGTATAAATATGATGATATGGTAGTATTGGCTTCTTGGCTTGTTTTGCTTTAGATTTGTGACCTAGGAAAAGAAAGTAAACAGTGAGTTAGAGGGGTTTCTATAAATATAAATACTATAAAAATGCACTGTGTCATCTTCATGACTATCCTATAGAGTAGATATTCATTTTAGAGAAGATAAATTGAACCCCAAGGAGGTTGAGGAAACTTGGTGAAATTACCCAGTTAGTTATTAGAACAGTAAGGTTTATACTTCAGATTTGTCAGACTTCAAATTCAGTGCTCTTTTCATAATACTTTGCTGTCTCTCCAAGAAATTTATACTTTAATTTCTTATATGATCAAATGAAAGTGATGTACTCTTAGAAAGGAGCACTTGCCAAAATAAAGTCTTCAAATATAAGCTCTGGTAGTCATCAAAGGTCATAATGAGTATGTCCATACAGTGCTCTCTTATATGTGTTAACATTTGCAGTATAGCAAGGTCTATAGTTTGGTTTCTGGCGTAAATAAATAATTTACTTATGACAATTAAACCACACATCATCTCATTAGCGTTACATTTAAAGTAGCGCCAGGCTACTTCTATTAGTTTTATGGAGTTTCAGTTTTTTGTTTTGCTTGTGGAAAATGAGAGTTGGAAATGCAGGTGATCCACAGAGCTTTTACCACTGAAAGAGATCCACAGATTGAAAAAGATAGAAAGACACCACATCCATGCTTTCCAAGCTGTGCATTGCCCTCGAGGGCTTGGTTAAAAAAATGACTTGTTGCTGGCATTTATCTTAGTGGTGCCACAGACTGCCTCGCAAGTACAAGGTCCGGAGTTCGATCCTTGGTACAAAAGAAAAAAAAAAGCGACCTGCATATTTGAATGAGGTAATTCTTGACACTTTGAATCTTGACTACAGTAAGTAAGGCCTAGATTAAAGAGAAAATTGAAGTAGCAAAACAACCAAACTGGTGAGCCTGAGTCCAGTATCCTTTTTCCAGAAATCCTCCTGGTCCCAGGCCAGAGCTGAGACAAACATAAGAAAGGTGACTCCTCTAGACTCAATGTCTAGTAATGAAAGCAGAGGTTATTATTTTAACTTTTGACTTAGGGGCTACTCCCTTGTGAAAAATCCTAATTATTGTAATATGATGGACTTACACAATGACACTCTGGAATAAGCCAATCATTTTCTCTTACTGTTACAGAGTACTGAAAGAAAAGGAAGCAAACATTTATTGAGCCCCTATTGCATTCTAGAAACTTAACTCTATTCTCATCGTAATTCTTTGAGGTAAGCATTATTACCCCTATGTTATACAAGATTTTGAAAAATGAAGCACAGAGCCAAATTGTTTCACAAAGTCATCTAATCAATGCATAGCAAAAATTGTGCCTGTATTTGTATCTACATGACTCCAAAATTCTTAAAACTTTAAGGTTTCTGTATAATTTAAACTGAGGTGATTGTATCTTACCCATTTTGAAGCTATTTATAAAAATCGATGCTATCTGGAATGTCATACAAGAGTTTTTTGTTTGTTTATTTGTTTGGCTTTTTTTTTGTACCAGGGATCAAACTAGGGACCTTGTGATTGTGAGGCAGGCGGCAACACACTGAGCTAAATCCCCAGCCCACATACAAGAGTTCTTAAAATTGTGTAAACTGTTTCTGTCCACCAAGGACCACAATGGTATCTGGAGAAATATATAAGCCCTTTACAATGCCTAAAATAAAGTAAATAGGATTACAAAGAAAACACATTAAACTAAAATTGACATCAATTTTTGAAAATGTTTATGGCAGTATATATGGCCTTTATCTGTAAGATCTAACAACAAATCCAATCAATGCTTTCAATTTTTTTAATTCTAAATTTCACTTAGAGGTTAAGAAAAATGAAGATGCAATTTTTCCTATAAAAGCTAATTCTGAATTCTATGAATCACTTCAGAGATCTACTAGAGGCTATACAGTAGTGTGTCTGAGGTGGAATGCACTAGGTTACAAGAGATGATTTTTGAATTTCCAGAAAGTTTGCACACTGGTTGCTAAATACCCGCATTGTTTCAAAGCAAATTTTATAACTTTACAGTTCAATAAGTTATATTACACACAAAAGTAACAAAAACTGAAACTCATCACTTCCTATTTCACTGTTTTTTATTATTGTGTATGCTGTCCAGTTTACTTATACATATCTATTGTATATGTAGGCTAAAAACAGTATATGTTATCATGGCATCTTTTTCTAACTCCATATTCAGTGATATCATGTTGTCAACTTGAAATCAACCATGGAAGCCAGCAAGTGTCACAAAACCGGGCTTTTTTATTGCAGAGACAGCTGTGAGATATTTAACTGCACTCTATTGTATCCTTGGGCTCCATATCAAGAACATCTAGTGGATAGAGAACACACTTGAAGATCTATCTCTGTGTTGCTCTTTTAAGTCAATAATTTTAGGGATTGTCTAACAAGGATTTTTTAAGTAAAAAAAGAATAATAATAAAAGATGAACTCCATTCATGTCAATAACTTTTGCTCTTTGAAGACATCCTTGGGAGGATAAAAAAATAAGCCACAGGTCTAGAGAAAATGTTTATAGATCACATATCTAATAAAGGACTTATGTCTATAATACACAAAGCACTTTCAAAACTCAATAATAAACAAGCAAATAAACTAGATAGGAAAAGACAATTCATTGAAAGAGATATAAGGATGACAAGTTTATGAAAAATGTTCAGTATCATTAGTCATTAGTGTGAAGTTAAAACCACAATGAAATATCATTACACAAATACACTAGGATAGCTAAAGTTCAAAATATTTACATTGGTGAACTGGAAGTCTGTCTTTGTGTCTTGCTTAAGTATTTTCTCATTTTTATTTTGTTGTTGGGTTGTCCTTGGTTTAATTTCTGGGTTATTACTTAAATCTTCCTGATATAGTTGTGCTTTAGCTTTTGATTCTCTAATGACTCATAGACACTCTCATTTTCATAGTATCAATGTGAAATAGGAAGAAAGGGGCTAAAGGTGTAGGGAAAGTGGGAAGGGTAGGGGAAAGCTAATAAGGGAAAAGAAAAATATGAGAAAATGAAGAAATGGAAAAGAAGTGTTTGTAAAGGGGGAGAGAGGAGGGGTGAAGGGAGGGCAGGGACAAGGGGAAAAAATGAGAACCAAGATCTGTCATGTAAAGGTACAAGATCCCAATGATGAATGTAACTGTACTGTATACCTAAAATGTACCAATAAACTCAATGAGGAAAAAAATATTGACTATACCACACATTGGTACACATGTGGAACAATTATAATTCTCATAAATTGATGGTGGTGATACGGAAGTGATGTCAGAAATGAAATATAAAAATATTATATCTCCAAACCTGTTAGCTATCTGATACACTGAGTTTGTGTTACCTAAAAATTGAAGAATAAATTATAAGAACAATGGAGGTTTAGAATACAAAGATGTTGGGCCAGGGATTTAGTTCAGTGGTTCTACCACCTGTCTCTCAAGTGCAAGGTCCCATGTTTAACCCCTGGCACACACATACACAAAAAAGAATAGAAAGATGTTTATTGGTATAACAGCTCCTGAGAGGCAGGAGGAAACCCAAATGTGTAGCCCGGGAACCTCACTTTACAACAGTTTTATGGAGTAAAACCCATATGGGTACAATGTGGGAGATCAACAAATAAGGTCACAAATATAGTTATTTAGGTAATAGTGGCCCAATTGGGAAACAAATCATGAAACAAGTGTGCATGGAAAGAATACTTCTAGGAAATGATAGGTCCAGAGGTCCTGGTCACCCATTTTGTAACTGATGTTTATATAGACTTCATTAGACTCAGTGTTTGTCATTTGTGGAAGTATATAGGTCTGGTCATCTTGTCTTCATCTGGAGGCCTGGACTTCAGCAGATTTGTCTCTGGTCTGAGTTAAGCTGTTTCATCTTTGTACTGACTCTGTCTCTCTCAAGACCCTAACTCTATCTGAGTGCCTGTAATATTTCTATTTTACTTTGCTGTCTGTAATATTTCCCCCCTCTGAAGAGGTATCCCAAATTGCCATGCGGGGGCAGGAACAATGACCATTTGTCTGTTTTAGGCTGAAAGGTTGTGATCAGCAGTCAGAAATACCCGACAGAGGGTATAGGCCCTTAATAGGTGCCAGGCATTTTTGCCATGGCTAGACATATAGAATTAAGTCTGAAGGAGACAAGACTAAAGAGACAAATATACATGGGCCAAGCAATAAGATCAGCAAGACTCTTATGAATCCAGCCAACAAATGTTTCCACCAGGAAGACAGTGATAGTCTTCCTCAGGAAGGAGAAGGAGAAGGGCCAGGGAATTTCAGAATCTGACATAACCTTAACCTATTTTTTAATATCTTGAATAGCTACTGAGATATTAGCAGAAGTATTGGGAATGTACACAACATTTAGTTTTTACATTTATATAAAAGCTCCCTTATGTCAGGATGTGTGATGCATCTGATGTCTAATGCAGGATGTCTAATGCATCTGATTTTGGAGGATGGCTTTAACCACATAAATCTCAGTGTGCATCTCCCTATCTATGTAGGGGTAGTCAGGGCCACAAATTGGTTTCAGAGGACTAATGAGTGCTGCAGGGGCTTCCCACTTAATTCCAGGGCAGGTAAACCAGTCAGTTGTAAAACAGTCTTTGACCTGTAAAATTATAGTACATGTGCACTGCTGAGGAGAGCTCCATCACAATATTTAGTAGAGTTAAGCCAATGAGAATAGGAGTGCTCTTTTTGTTCCCATCACAAGGGGGGGCTTTATACTGTTATCCTATAGTTGGAGTTTACCACATATAATCATCCCAGAAGAGAAAGTAGCTATCTTTACATGTGCAATTGCTGGATCTTGTGATAGAACTTTTATTCTTACTTAAAACAGGGATTTTACTTGTTCCTGTAGAGGCTTCAGTGGCATTTTTAGAAGATATTCCATTTTGACCAGGATCAGTAAGGGTGGAATTTATAGGCTATTCAGTTACCTTGTAATGCTGGGCTAAGCTATGATCCACTGAATTTTTTTGTCTCTCATTAATGTGATCCTATAGTTTGTTTTGTATCTCTTGGATATCCTTTTCTGTTTGGTGTTTAAGATCAAGTTAAAATGAGATATGTGTTAATCAAAATTAACCTCCTGCTCTTTATCAAGATCAGTTTATTATATTCAGGAATTACTTTCGGATCCATGTACAGAGCCTCTTATCTCCTCTGTCAGTGTCAGCTGCTAGAATTAATCAAGGTCTTGCTTCACCATGTTGCTTTCTAGGAAAGCATGAGAGATTTTTCTCTCTCTGGTAACCTTCCTTTGTCACTCTGTACATTTGTTGAGTCCTATCCTCTGAGGCCCAGCAATCTTCTTACTCAGAAGTTTGGGTGACTCACCAAATTTGGAGGATACAGTAGAAAAGGTGCCCTTATGTCCTGGGTCTTTATTGATCTTCAAGTTCCCAGGCCGGAATTCTGGCAGTTCGTTTAGCCCCGATACATTTCCAGAACTTTTGAAAGATACAGTATATCTAGGGGACCATGATTTCTTACTAATTATGGTTCTTTTAGAATTTGATCTCTGTACAATGTTAACAGATAACAATTATAAATTTTATAGAGAAAACATAATATTGTAACATGCCAAATATACTACCTTTGAAACACATTTAAATATCTAAGTACAGAATTGCATTTAGTCAATTGTCTCTATGTAATTTATAAAGAAACTCTTACCTAATTTGGTGTCCTTCAATAAGATGTCATTGAAGAAGTGTGTGACATTGTCTGAGCATGCCTAAGTGAAATAACACATATATAACATACACATCACATAAGCTTTTTAAAAATATTATTTGACTGGTGGTCCTCTTGGCTGGTTTGTCATATACCTCTTTTCCCAAGTAGCTGGAGCAAAATAGAAAGGTTGTATCTGAGTCTAAGAGAAGGTCATCACCATAAATAATCCTATTTTTACACCTTAGAAGACCTGTAGATCTGGAAGACAGGAATACATTTAGTATACTATGACATTAGCGATAACGAATGTTATAGCTATTGGAAGCCTTCATCTCTTGATTTAGCTTTCTACTGAGTATCTTTTTTTCATTAAATTTATTGGTACATTTTAGTCATACAATACAATTACATTCATCATTGGGATCTTGTACCTTTACATGATGTATCTTGATTCTTGTTTTTTCCCCATTCCTTGCCCTCCCTTCACCCCCTCTACCTTTTGCTATTTACAAAGACTTTGTTTCCATTTTTTTCCTTTTCTCATATTATATTTTTCCCTCTTTCCTTTCCCCTACCCCTCCCACTTCCCCTACTGCTTTAGACATTATCTTCCTATTTCACATTATCAATTATACATTTTGATCCTTATTTATACTTTTAGTTTCTTATATCAGAGAAACTATTGGATATATACATGTGTACCCTATTTATTTCACTTAAGAGTATTACCTTGATACTAAGAGCATCTTTTAATAAGAAAACCTTCTTGTTTTACCCACAGAGAGCTTTATTTTTTATTTTTATATAAACATATTACAATAATGTATAGCCATATTTATTGGGGTGTGTCTCTCCCAAGGCTATGAAAATCATGGGGGTCTCTTTAGTGAACGAAGGCCAGATTGAGATATTTACAGGTAACTTCTCCTTTATTTTCCAGAGGCAGTCATGTCCAGCAATTTTTCCAAACCTAAGGGATCTCCATTTAATTGTTTTAATGAATTTTAGATGCCCCATGAGAACCAGATTACAACAATAAACACATTATTTTTGACCAATGTAAGATTCTCAACTTATTGTGCCCAGACAACAATATGAATTGTATTTGTAAAACCAGTCTCAGCATCACTTTGATCAGCTGGCAAACTGGGTGCAAGCATGATTTTAACATTAATGGCACTTATCTACAAGTCATATTAAGTCATAGGAAAATACCTTAAAAACCCAAAGAGGTGAAAGAAGAAAAAATTATTGAGCTCAAACAAAATAGCTGTGCATATGGTGACTCATTCAACACACACATGGACAAACACATAAGATGATTTGTTTATAAACTAGAATGCACTTGGATATATTTTGCTGAATTAAATTATAGTAACCCTTTTTTAGCTATAACTAAGACTAACCAGAACATTTTAGATCAATTAACAGAGGTCTTTTGTAATAAGAATTGGAAAGAACAAAAGTCATACCCATAATCAATATTTTGTATATAACTTGTTTTAAGAATCTTAGCGATTCCATCCCTTCTTCCTTTTGTGGCTTCTTGCTCAGTCACCTCTACACCTTCTGTACACCTCTACACCTCTACACCTACTCAGACCTTTTTTTTTTTCTTTAGAGTAGGAAAATTTACTGGGGAATGAGAATGAGAAGTAGAAATGGAGAATAAGAATAACCCCTGAGAAACAGAAGCGGTCCTAAATAAGTTGCCCAATCCCAGATCTTTTTGTGACAGCATTCCTGGCATCCCCCACTCCATGGGAGGTGGAGCTAAGGTGGCTTTACTGTTTTTCATATTTTACCTGTAGTTTTTTGATGGGAGCATATAGAATACAGTACTTAAACAAGACATAATATCTCTCCCCAGGAGGGGAACTGGATTTGCAGGCATAAGTAAAAGCAATGGGTAGAAAGGAAGCCATCCCAGTTATAGCCCAAAGTTTGTGAGAAATAGAAAATTACCTCTTCTCCAGTGAGTTTTTGCTGAGGTTTCATAACTGGAAAAAAAGCTAGAGTTGAAAAAGAATGATTGAGAGACATGTGCCAAATGATTTAGGGGTCCACGTGCTGATGGTAGTTCAACCAAAGGGGGAAGATACAGAGAGTGCCCTGGGGCCCTTCAGTCTTTTTGGACCAGCTAGTAAGAAGGGCCTGATTATTGGGGCTTTTGCCTTGGGGAGCATGATCTCTTGTAGTGACCCTTGCTATCAGGGCATGGCTTAAGGAGCCTTTTTAAGGCAATCCCTCATAAGGTGGCCTGTCTTTGTTTCTTCCCTTTGGCTTTCTCCTGCTCCTGATTTTAAAATACTGAGGAAGCAATTTTTGCTAAAGTATCATGGGGGCTATCTGGAATAAAAGCCATCTTTTGTAACTTTTTCCTAGCATCTGGGACTGATTGAATAATAAATCTGTCCTAAAGAATAATTTGTCCCTTTATCAAATCAGGAGCTAGGGATGTATGTTGTACCAATGCCATTTGCAAATGATCTTTTTCTTAGGAATCATTCAATAACATAAAATAATGGACTGGCTTAATTTTTTTCCTTCTTAGACTTTCTAGGACACATGGCTAAAAATGTCTTTTATTCTAGTCTCCCATCTGTTTGACAGGCCAGTGGGGTCTTGTGTAGGAACTGCTTATATTATAGTAAGAATTGGGCTGGGGATTTAGCTCAGTGCTTCTGCTTCCTGCCTTGCAAATGCAAGATCCCGAGTTTAATCCCAGGTAAAAAGAAAGAAAGAATAAAAGGGCTAAAGGTGTAGGGAAAGTGGGAAGGGTACCGGAAAGGTAATAAGGGAAAAATATGAGAAAATGAAAATATGGAAATAAAGTGTTTGTAAATGGGGAGGGTGGAGGGGGTGAAGGGAGGGCAGGGAAAAGGGGAAAAATGAGAACCAAGACCTGTCATGTAAAGGTACAAGATCCCAACGATGAATGTAACTGTACTGTATCCCTAAAATGTACCAATAAACTCAATTGAAAGAGAAAGAAAGAAAAAAAGAAAGAAAGAAAAAGAAAAGAAGAAAGAAAGAAACTGCTTGTTCCCCGAGACTGCCTGTCTTCTGGATTCTTAAAATTAACAATATAATATTCATCCCCAAATGTAATAGCAGCTTGTAGTGTTGTTTGACTCTCATTAGAAGTCAATATTTGATTGAAGGGTAACATTACTTCTTTCTAGTCTGGTTTGTAGGTATGAATAAGTTCTCTAAATACTTTAATGTACTTGTCAGGGTCTTTGAAAACTTTCCTAGAGCTTTTTTGATCTGTCTTACGTCAATAAGTGGAAAGGACATATTAACATGGGTATGGTGGCTGAATTTGTCATTTTCTTCTTCTGGCTTATATTTATGATTTGAAGACAAATAAGGATTATCTTTTAATGCAAAGAGAACATGAACATAAGGACATTCTAACCATTTTTTCCTCTCTCAGTAAAATTATAATTGTGAGATGGCGCCATAATAGGTACTTCCCTCTGCATTCCATTTTGACTCTAGATGATAGGCAGGCAATGTGTGGGTGAAGAAAAATATTAAACTGCTCTTCCTCCATAAGTGGGGGTTGAAACTTCACCAATGTTTAAGAAATGCATTCCAAAGGAGTAAGCCATTTCAGTATTGAGATGTCCATGCTAAAATGCAAAAAGAAAAATTGGCGTCCCTTTAATTTCTGTTTGATTTTTGTTCCCTTGAGGCATTCCCAGAGTTGATTTCACTCCAGGGCTGGTGGCTGCCATCTGGAGAGAGGAGGAAAAGTAAACCTGATCAGAATATCCTCCACTGTACTACTGTGTAATCTTATCTTCCCTAGGAACTAGTGTTCTTACTCCTATATGCATTTTCAAAAACAAGTTAGAAATTATTTCAGCCATGTTAGTGGTGTTTTAAAGAAGGAAGCATTACTAGAAAATCAAATAATGAAGAGATATCAACCATTGCTTTCTAATTATTTGAGAGAGAATAAGGCAGATAGATCAAAAGGCAGCACTACCCATTCTGCAAAAGAGATCACCTCTAGAGACTAGACAGAAGCAAATAAATGGCTCAGAGGAATTCTTCCCTGGGATTAGGGAGACGAAGCTTCTAAGACAGCTGTGTTATCTGCCTGGTCACCTAGACCACCTTCCTTAGCAGCAAGACAAGGCTATGCATGGTTCAAAGTTCATTCTAAGTCATTAAAATTCACAAGTTAAACTTATACTCATCACCTAGCAACCACAAGTCTCACTAGACGAAGGCACACTACATGCCCATAGAAGAGAAAGGCTGACCCAAATCACTTTTTCTTTTATGTCTACTTTGCAAGGCATAAATGTAAATTGCTTCTCTGTTAGCTGTTCTGGGAAAAGAAAACCATTTGTTACAAACTATTTCTGCTTCCACTGGACGACCTTTGGATATCTGCCAATGAGTAGCCTTTGCCACAACCCCGCAATTGTCACATCAGGTTTCACTAGTTCCACAAAATTGAAGATCTTTCTCCAGAAAAGAAATCTCATTGCCCCACTGGTCCACATTCCACCAGCCACTGGCTTCTGTGGAGATGGGGATTGACCGGAGTGTGCTTGGAGAAGCCTGCCCTCTGTTTCTTAGAAAGTGGCAACTTCCCTAAAGGTGACTTACTAGATGACAGAATAACCACTGTTTTGTTATTCTGTAAGATCTTAGAATTCTATAAGGGACATATACAAGCCTGAACTGTCTTTATCTAAACTGATTTTATAAAAGACCCAGTTTACAGCATTTTCTAAATTTACTTGTAGCTACTGTTAAAGTCCACTAGGTGGTGATCTCACCTTACTTTTCCTTAGCGTTGCTTAAACAATTAAAGCAATTAATATACAACGGAAACAGAAAACCTTATCTGCTAAAGCAAAATATCCCTTTAAAGAAGCATCATAAAAATTTCAACAATAAGCAATGCATAAGAATTCAAAAAATAAAGCAATTAGCAAAAGGCACAAGCAGTGATAAACAAGAATGACAATTTTAGTTACCTAATATAATTCAGAAGTCAAGAAATAAAAGAAAACTTCCCATTAATGATTTATCTCAGTGGGACTTCCAATAATGATACAGGAAATGATACCAGAGATATAATATGAAGATGTAGGTCCCAACCTGTTAGCTGTCTGATACACTGAGCTAATTTTTTCTCAAAATCAAAGAATGAGTTATAGAAACCACGTGGGTTAAGAATAGGAAGATATTTATTGATAGGACAGCTCCCAAGGGGCAAGAGGACACTGGAACTGATAGCTCAGGGATCCCACTTTACAGCAGAGTTTTATGGAGTAAACCCATGCGGGTACAGTGTGGGCCACAACCATGCCAATAAGGTTACAAGTAATAATGGTCCAATTGGGAAACAACTCACATAACAAGTGTGCATGGGAAAAACACAGGCTTCTTAATGATGGCTCCAGAGGTCCTGGTCACTCATCAAGGTAACTGATATCTATCTACACTTCAGTAGTCTCAGTGTTTGTCCTTTGATCAAGGAAGTATATTGTCATCTTGTCTTTCGAGGCTTGCTCTCCAGCAGATGTGTCTCTGGCCAGAGCTGTGATGTGTTTCACCTTTGTTCTGGTGCTATCAAGGGCCTAACTCTATCTGAGTGCCTGTAATATTTCTTTTTGAATTAACTGTCTATAATAGTGAGACTGCAAAATGGTGTAACCACTTTGGAAAACAATTTGCTAGTTTCTCTCTCTTTTTTTTTTTTTTTTTTTTTTTTTTTTTTGGTACCAGGGATCAAACTCAGGTCCTTGTGCTTGCAAGGCAGGCAGTGAAACCACTAAGCTAAATCCCCAGCTCTTGTTACTTTCTTATAAATATAAACTTTCTCTCATCATATGTCCCAGTTACTCTGGTCCTAGGTATTTTTAGAAGAGAAGTAAAAGCAAATGTCTACACAAATATATATGTGTGTGTGTGTGTGTGTGTGTGTGTGTGTGTTATTGTCATCATTATTTTAATAGCCCCAAACTTGAAACAACTCTAAATCCATCTATAGAAAAATGCATAAAATAACGATATCACAATCATTTAATTGACTATTGCTCAGCAATAATAAAGATTCAGTGTAAACAGCTTAGGTGAATCGTAAGTTATGCTGTGTGAAAGAAGCTGGTCAATGAAGAATACATATGGTATTATTTCACATATAGAAAATTTTATAAAGTGCTAGTCAATCCATCAGAGGATGAAGCAAGTTAGCAGATTGGATAATCAGGGCTGGCGAAAACTAGCAAACAGCATGAGGGAAGAATTATAGAAACATGGGAAAACTTTTGGAATTGATGGACATGTTCATTATTGTTTGATTGTGGTAATGGTTTTATGGGTATATACATGTCAAAGCAACAAATTGCATACTTCAAACATGTGCAGTATATTTTATAGCAGTTACATCCTAAATAAATCATTTTATATGAGTAAGACTGATCCTAGTAGAAAAAGTTTGAAAAAACTCTACAGCGAAGAAGGTATATGGATGGCAAATTATTTCATTAAATGAGGTTATTCTGTTTCTTGATTAATGTTGCTGAGGGCCCTTTATTATTGTCCATTAGTTATGAGCCAAATATGTGAGAGGATAACTGTATTAGACTTACTAAATGGTATCTTTGTGAAAATCAAATATTACAGCTAAAATAAATAACATACCAACCCAACCCATGTTTTCCATTTGTTGTGGGAACCTATGTGGAAGAAGTAGATAGAGTCTTTCTTCAAAAAAAAAGAAGGTGAGACAGATATTAAGCAATATATCTTAGACCACACAGTAGATCAGTAGCAGGAATGGGACTAGAGTACAGATCTCCAAATTATTTGTCAAAAAAAAGGTTCTCTGCAGAAAGGAAGAGTCTACTATATGGATCTGCAGGATGATCAGAATTCCTGGCAGGATACTGAAAGATAAGCTTATGTGTTGGAAGAATCTATATTTTGCTCAATTTTAACAAGGCTTAGAGAAAAATTTCACTACAATGTAACAGACCTAGCATTCCTAAATGTTTTCAGCATGTTTTAAGTTTGTGAGCAGTTTTTGCTTCTCAATCAAAAGATCTATCAATATTGTATTTCTTGATACTGCTAATCTGTCCATTCAGTACATAGAAAGCTCACATTCATCTGCAGAGCTGGGAACAATATGTGAGCCAACATTTCATTAAGTTGTATATTTTTCCCAAACCAATGATTGGTTGCATCCCCTTCTCCTTGCCCCACCCCCTTATGCTTTAGATGTTGCTGGGGAGATTTTGGCCCAGTCTAGAAAGAGGAGGAGGGAACTGGATAAGAAAGGGGGAGTAAAGAGCAGTTACCAGGGGTCACTGTTCTCTAAACAGACAGAAAGGAAGAAAGAAGAGTAGGAAAATTCAAAATTCTGCATCCTTCTCTTCGAGGCAGGGCAATTTTCTGTGGGAATCCAGGCAGAAAATTTAAAGCATCTCTGAGAAAAAGAGCAGCAAAATTAAAGATATTCTTACACTCCCATTTAAACAGCATTTATAGAGTATAAGTAGCCTATTACATACAAACCCTTATTCCTCAATAAGACACACACACACACACACATACACACACACACACAAGCATACAAAATGGTAAACAGAAACATCAGCAGCTACAGAGACAGTGAAAAGACAGAAATGAAGGAGAAAAGGGACACCTCCAGAAATACATTTTCAAACCTTAAAAAGATTAGTTAGGCAGAGGGGAGATAGCAGGGAAACAGCAATGAAAGCCCTAGGTGGTGGGATAGGTAGAGGCAGGACTGACGTGGGAAATGAGGGGTGAAGGTGAGACAAGATTAGCAGTTAAGTGTGGATAAAAGAGGGTAAATTACAGAGTCTGACTCCATAGAAACTCTACCTAAGGGTGGATTAGAAGAAAATGAGGCACAAATCTCCCCAAATTCTAGTATTTAAAAGCTAGAATTTTGTTCATTCTGCACACTAAAATAAATTTTGATCACATTTTTCTATGCTTTCCAATAGACTCACTTTCCAGTGAAGTGTGAAATGACCATATTAGTGTGTATATGTAGATTTGTTTTATTTACATAGCTCAGCTTTATGAAACATATTTCTAGGAGATGAACATACACCTCAGGTATCTAGCTGAGAAGTGAATTTTAAAATACATATAAAACTGTGAGAAACATTAACTATAGAAAAGAAACAGACAAGAGGATGGAAAAAACTACTTTAAAATTGTTTTTAGCATTGGCATGCATTTGAAGGCATAGATAGAGACTACTAAATCAATGTACAATATAGTCTCACTATTGTGAGTCAGTGGAGGCAAAGATAAGCTGAAGTGAAAAATCTGAAATGTACAATATTTTTAAAGACATGTATTTTCATTATTTTCTAATGTAGTTATTCCAACTATTTTAATAAATTTTCTCCCTATAATACCAGTGTCCACAGAGCTCTGAATATACAAATGCAATTACCCACAACCATGAGATTTATTTTCCAGTGAAGCAAATTTTCCTTAATACTCTTATCTTTCTGAGAAATATAATAACTAATATTTATTGAACACTTCCCATGAATGAGTCAGACACTTTTAAGCAATTTACATTAACTGTCATATTTACTTCTCAGAACTACCTTGTGAAGCAGTTTCAATTATTTCTCCCAATTTACTGATGAAGAAATTGAGATTTGGAGAGGTTAGACACCTTGCTTATAATTATACAGTTCATAATAGGTTGAACCAAGATTTCAACCCAAATAGGCTGATTCTATAACCTTTGTTATTCACTAGAGTACTATGCTGCCTCAGATAAACAACATTTTACCTCAGTTAAAAAATAATCGGATATCATGGCTTTATTTTAAAAAATGAAGGAAACTTACAGAGTATGTTTTAGCATCAGCATTCACCGGAACCCTCTCTTCTACATCCTCCTCAGCAGCTACAAAGATCAATGGTATTGAGAGTACTGAGCTTCAGGGACTGCAGGATCCTCTGACAACAAATTAGGAGTCAGTTATCTTCAGTGGAATCTATTGCTGAAGCAGAAAAGTAAACTAGCACCTTTTGGAGGAATTTGTACAACAAATTAAAAATCCAAAGGTTTTCTGTTTAATTATCAGTTAAACAGGAAGGTAAATCATTTACTACCTTCCATCCCAAGCCTTTGCTGCAGTGAATTTAATATTGTTTATATTTATGTGAATGAAAATTCAATCATCTCTTCTTGACAAAGCTTCTTTCCTTCCTTTTTCTTTCTTCCTTTCTTTTTCCTCCTGTCTTTATTTCTTTTGTTAAAACACAAATGAGCTTTTATCCTGCCCTGACTTATCATGATATTAAAACATTATCAATTTTAGGAGTCTGGATTAATGAAGATTCATGTATATCCCCTTGATAAAAAATACTGACCATCTAATATGATGATTCAATGCTTTTATTTTGTAGTAACAATAATGTTCCAAGAATCTGGACTGATTATGACTACAGACAAAAAAAAAAAAACAGAAGAAGAAAATTGGAGAAAAAAAAACTCATAAGACCATCTTTTGATAGGTTGAAAAGTTAAAAAGCTACTGGGCAAGTTGCCATGGATACCATGCCCAGAGTATAATACTGAGCTTTTCACAGTTAAACACTAAAGGCCTAACTCTCCAGCTGCATGCCTCCTTTCTATGCAGGCAATAGCAACTACTTGAAATGGAAATTCTGTATTTTGATGAATGTGAATGCAATGGAAAATTTCCTGTGCAAGAATGCAAACATGATGGAAAATATTGGAATCAGCTTAATTCCAAAAAGATTTTATACCATTTCTATTTTACCTGAGATTTCTAAATGAAAACTCACTACACATTAATCTTTATATATCTACAATAAAGATTCAGAAGTCAGGAATTGGTAAGAATAGGCCTACATAGCCAGTTTTTACTACTGATGCTTATCACCCAAAGACACACATTCCAATATCCAAGTATGGGATCTGGGCAGAACAAATAATATGGAAGATTGGGAATTCCCTCCATGCTTCAAAAATAAATATGGGAGATACATTTTTCCAAATAAGTCAACATTTTGCTGTCACTTCATTTTTTTTAATTTAATAAAATTACTAAGATATTTCTGTTGAATTACAATAGAAAAGCTGAACACGTAAAAGGATTCATAGTAATAAGTAAAGAAGGTCCAGAAGCAATTTTGTGTGTAGCTCATAGAATATAGGGTAAAACAGACACAAAGTTAGAGTCTAACAGGCATGAATTCCACTTCTATCACTTTACTAACACTCTCATCTAATTTCTATTCATTGCATATTATTATATAAGGATGATAATAATACCTGTACTACAGTTTCTGTGTGGATAAAATTAGCCATGTGAAAGACATTTAAAACAATGTTAATTCTTCACTAAATGATAATGTTTATATTATTCTGCAGCAACTCCAAATCACTGATTTCACTTTGGCTTAGGGAAAAATATAAGCTTATGGTAGAATTCCCTTCTAACATATTCTAGGAGAGCACTAGCAATTTCCCTGCTTACCTGCTTCTACATACATCTTCCAAACTCTCTTTCCCCTTTTCATTATTCATTGACTCACACACCCTCAAGCACCTTATCCTCCCACCTTCTGATCCCAACTTCACCTGACAATGCTTTCTGTATACCTCATGTTTTCACTCTCCCTTTGCTCTGTGGGAAAGAGAAACTTCCCTTTGTGTGGCCCTGTCCCTCCCTTGGCCCTGAGGTATGTGAGTCAGTGATTTTCCACAGCCATCAGGATTTACCTTGTTGTCAAACTCTTTCTCTTGTTTTTATTTTGCAAGCCACTTGCATAATCCCAGATGATCTTCTCTCTCTAACAGTGGGGGGACATTCCTAACTCAATTGTTTTTGTTTATCCACTCTTGTGCTTCCTTATGCATTACATGAGTTGCTTCTTTCAGAATTTTCATATTCTGTTATGAAGAATCTTCTACACACTTGAAAGCAATCCTGCAAAAACACTAAATAAAACTAACTAAACTTTAACAAATATGACCATAATAAGTAAAAGAGAAGATATGAATAAATTGCAAACTTAATGAGAGCAGCGACAAATACAGGTAAAACTATAACATAATACTATATATTATTTCAGGAAAATTAAATTGGAAACCTGAATGAAGTGTAATATAAATAAAATGACAAATCAACCCAGGAAAAGAAGAAATGTGAATAGATTTACACTAATAAAAGAAATTTAAACAGTAGTCATATGTAAACCCCTTAAAACACATTTGAAACCTAAGTAATATTGGAGGGAAATATTCAAAGGAGAGAATTTTTACATAAACTGCTCCAGACCATTACAAATATGGGCAATTTGACTGTATTTTTCTGACTTTATATAAGTGAAAATAAGGTATTCTGAAGAAAGTGAACTATAGTCTAACATTAATAATGAATTCAGATGGGCAAAACACAAATAAAATATTGACAAGCAGAAACCAGGAATAAAAACAGTAGTATATAATGATCATGAATAATAAGTTCTAGAAAATGTAACAATGAAATGTACGCATTAAGAAATTGCATATGACAGTAAATAGATTTGTGAAAAAGATAATGTTCAGCACTCATGCACATTTTTTTAAAATCAGGAAACTTAATTAGAACTTCTATGATATAATACAATGTCTACCAGATAATAAGCCTCGTACTTAACTGTGAATTATTAAAACTCTATTAAAATCAGAAGGAAAAGAAAGTGCTGGTCATTGAGTATAAGGTTCAGCAAAAATAAAAAAAAAAAAAAAAAAAAAAAAAAAGGAGGAAAGTAAGTATGAAATACTCTTAGGGAAAAATGTCTTTATTTTTAATTTTTTATGAAAATCCTCAGATAAAAATTGAGAACTATTGTTAAACAAAGATCATAGAAAGTAAGTATATATAATATTTGTATATAGGACTTGATCTTTCATATCCACAAGAAATAAACTACTTAAAAATAAGACTAATAGAATAAAATAAAATTCAGAAATCACGTGATAATTCTATACATGATAAATATATCACTTCAAATCTCAAGGACTGAGATGAGCTTTCTAGTAAACAATATTAAAATAACTAGATAATCACTTGCAAAGTTATAGAATGGATCCATACCTCATACCGTACAGCAAAACAAACCTCAGTTGATAAGAATATTCACTGTAAAATTGAAATCATACAAATTTTGTTGTGGGAAAAGGCTTTTATCTATGACACAAAATTCAGTGGCAATAAAATAATTAATTCAAGTATGAAATCAAGTATACAATTTTTTAAATATACATATGTGGTGTACCAAGGATCAAACTCAGGACCTTGCACTTGCAAGGCAGGTGTGGTGCCACTGAGCAAAATCCCCTGCCAATAAATATTTTAAAAAGTGGTATAAAGTGACCTTTGAAGATATATAAAGATGTCCAACTTCACTCATAATAAAAGAAATGTAAATTAAAAATAATCCAAGGTAATGTTTCTGATCTATCAGATTCACAGTACCAAGGATCAAACTCAGGACCTTGCACTTGCAAGGCAGGTGTGGTGCCACTGAGCAAAATCCCCTGCCAATAAATATTTTAAAAAGTGGTATAAAGTGACCTTTGAAGATATATAAAGATGTCCAACTTCACTCATAATAAAAGAAATGTAAATTAAAAATAATCCAAGGTAATGTTTCTGATCTATCAGATTCACAGAGGTTCAAAGGCTTAATAAGACACTGTTGCAAAGATTGTGCATAAAAGTCAATCTTATATAATGCTGAATACAAAGTGGTACAAATTCTTTGGCATGTGGGAGGCATTTTGTAGCTTTTAGCTATACTACGTGTGTTTTTGACTTTTCCTGGTTTGTTTGTTGTTGTTATTGTTGTAGTTGTTGTTGTGATACTGGAGATTGAACCCAGGGATATTCTGACAGTAAACTGTATTTGTAACTGTTATTATTTTTCATTTTGACATAGGGTATTGCTAAGTTGCCCATGTAGAACTTTCTATACCTCTGTATCAGCCACTCAAAATGCTAGGATTGTAGGTCTATGCCTACATGCATATTAACCCAGTAAGGACCTGGACGAAATATTCTACCATGAGATGACCCCAGCACAGCCTGCCCAAGGGGGGCCAAGGAATGCATCCCCAACCCCAACCAATGAAGCCCCTGTTCCCGGGGACTCTACAGCACAGTACAATAGAGGTGATAACCAACAGACCAATCTGATCAAATAAGGGACCACAAATAGAAAGGAAAGCAAAGAGTAGGTAGTGGAATTCTATAAAATGGTTGTAGAAGTTAAGAAGCAACTAGATGAGTTCAAACAAAAAATGAACCAAAATTTCACAGAAATATCATTCAAAATGACCAATCGAGTTTTAAGGAAAATATGTAAAAAAATAGACAAGCTGACAGAACAGTTGAAAACATGAATGACAAATTTACCATAGATAGAGTCCTTGAAAATATATTAGAAAGAAAAAACTGAAATGTTATATAAAATTCATAAATTACAGAAGGAATTAATATGAACACAGAGGGTGTGAAATTGAGGAGAAAAGGGTTAATTGCAAAGAAATAATCAAAAAAGCCACAAAAAAGAAGAGAACAAGAAAAACCTATTCAGGAACTACTAGGTGACACTAACTTGAAGACTAACCTAAGGCTAACTTAAGGATAATTGGTTCCACTTTTTTTTTGGTACTGGGTATTGAACTCAGGACCTTGTGCTTGAAAGGCAGGCAGCCGAACCATTGAGCTATATCATTGGCAGGATAATTGCAATTAGGAAAAAAAAATAGAAGATAACACATAAAATTATTAATGTTTACAGAAATCATAAGAGAAAATTTTCCATATATAAGAAAGTAAAACAACAAATAAGAACAGCTTCTAGAGGGGCCATGATTTAGTTCAGTGGTTCTGCTGTCTTCCTCACAAGCGCAAGGTCCAGCGTTCGATCCCCGGTACCAAGAAACAACAACAACAAAAA